AACTTATGTAATAAGTTTAGAAGTTTGAGTTTTTTAGAAAATCATTAGATTTGTGATTATTAACATTATGTTGGAGCCATGTCAAAATCATGTCAAAGACAAAAAAATGTCTTTTAAATTGGACACTTTACGGATTTTTGTGTCATACGAGTATCGTAAGTGCGTTAGTGTCCGATATATATCAGACACGGGACAACCGGACACGCCATTTATGAGGTGTGTCCGAGCTTTATAGTTTGCACGTGCATAGGACCAACAACTGAGTTAAATCTAACCTTTCAGACAATCATATAAAATAAATAAATCCAACACATGAATCATATATTGTTCTTGCCTACTAAAAGTTTAAATGCCACTTGAAAAGAATCATGCTCGACTAGCTGCAAAGTATTTCATAAATTAAAAAAATATTAAGAACCTTAGAAGATACTATAGATGGAAGGAAGTATGAACAACAATGACTTAATATAAAAAAGACAAAGGCCTAATGTTCAGTTAAACTCTTTATAGTAAAAGCATGTTCTAATGGTTATTTTTCTGAAGCTTCATTCAGCATTCCTTTATCACTTTTGATTGAATTATCTTCCACTTGATTAACATTTCTTGATAAAGCTTATATTGTTCTTCCCATATGTCCAAACATAATCGTATCAATAGGAGATCCTTCAACTTTCCCCAAATACATTTGTTCCTAATTTTATCTTTCCTCGTGTCTAACCATATCATCTCTGCTACACATGCTTATCACTGCCTGCCTAATATTAACTATCATAGAGCATTGACCATCTTATACATGTATTGTAACAGACATTTGATGTCACGGTTCTCGCTTTAAACACTTTTAGCCAACAGAGACTGATTTAGAAAGGCAGAACGACTATTGATTCAAATTCAATCTGTTATATGGGTTTGTTAACTCAGTCTCCATGACCATCACAGATATAAATAGCATTTCAATGATCATTCATTTGCATGTTCACTGGTAGCAAAATGACTTGTGATTTCACATTTCGGTGATTCTTGATGTCACGGAGAGAGAACAAGACAACTTTTAAAAGTACATTTAGATATAGGAAAACTTGTTATGTGAAAAAAGGCTAGTTTGAATGTCTCCAATAAACCCACTTTTCAAAAGAAAAAGAAAATCATGTGTAAAAGAACTACATGTGAGGATCTCCTGGAAGTAACACTGCAAGACATTTCACATTCTAATGGGATAAATTTAATTACTCTTGATCATAGCAAACTTTAAATTGCAATAATTTTTAAGTTACAAGCCTATAAAAGAGAAGATGGTACAATACACACCGAGTGCAAATTTGTAAATGCCCAACAATAAAAAATAAATTAGCACCAGAATCAAAGGAAGCTACATTTCCTGATAGGATTATATTTTTGCAAAGTCATCAGCATTGGTAAGATAGTGATAAAGTGAAACTAACCGGTGGAGTAATTTCAGGCAATGTTTGGGTGTGTGAAATCACAAAATTGCCATTAGAAACAGGGCACTTTACTTCTTTACAAAGATCAATGTTTTCTGTATGGACAGGCACCCCAACGTATGAAACTCCAATTACTACCTCTCCACCAAGGATAGATTTACCTGCATGAAGGATAGACAGAAATCTCACTTGTAATCTGTTAAAATAGACAAGTGATACTCTAAGATAAGGAGCAAATAAAGTGAGCCAAAAATATAAATGATAGCTTCTGAATCATTTGCAAATTACAGGCGTCTATACAAATTATTTTGCTTACAGATACTTAAAATTCAAAAACAACGCTGAAATGTATGTAATGTACTACAATCCAGATAAAATAAAATTTGATGGAATTTTTGAAAACAACAAAACTAGACAAATAAGAAGAGAGGATAAGGGTATTACCTGAAGTAGCATAGATCTTAAAGGTAGCCGGATGGCCACTCTTCACAGGGTCTGGTGATATATCAACTCCAGTCACCTTCACAGGATAGTTTGCCTTCTTATCTGCAAGGATTGTTTAGTGAAAAAATAAATATACACAAGAAGATTACCATGACCTAAACAACCTGAACAAACCATGAACACAACAGATAAGCTACCAGCACTACATGAAATCACACAGTGACACATTCCCAAAATTAATATAAAGAGAAATATTAGCAATACGTGCTCTTGCTCACACTAAAGCACGCCTTAATATATACTAAAACTTATTAAAAATGACAGTTTCATAGGTCTCACCGAGCATCTAAAATTTACGGTTGCTTAAATGAACTGTTTAACTTAATTTTATGGATCTTGAAATATCATACAGATTTAAACACTATTCAGTGAAACTCATGTGAATAATAAAGTTGCTATAGTCTTTGTTTAATCTAGATTTGCAGATCCTACAATTGATTCCTTTTAATGATTTTTTTTTTTGGGATCAAAGTTCTATTTCTTGAGTTTCATCATTCAAATTGTTTAGGTTGCATTGCACCATCTGTCTTGTTGATCGATCATTTTTCTCCTCGATAGTTTTTTTTTTCTCAAAAATATTTTAAGCAACATTTCTATATAATCAATTGTGCTAGTATAGTCAACGCCAGCTCATATGCTTGGATGCTATAAAAATTTAAGAAGCAGTGTTTATCATTGATCAACCTCTTAAAAACGCACATGGGAGGAGATAGTCGTAAGGAGACAACCACTTTCATGATTTTGTTGTTTTCAATAAATTTCAACCTAATAGCATCTTCCTGCAGTTTTTCTTCGTCCAAAAACAACAGGTTCCAATTTCAAACAGAAACCAAAAAAGGTTTATATTTTCGTATAAACTTTGAAATTTGCAGGATCAATTGGAGGGTGGCAAAGGGAGCAGAAAAAACCAATTGTGCAGATGAAAAGTTAAAATCAACAAACAGAAGTAGTTAAACGTTAAAACACACAGAGAAGTAAAACTGAATTTCTAATCTAATATTTAACCGATCGGATCAAACCAAAATGATAAGAACAAAAAGTCAACACAGAAAGAGAGAGTGATGAAGTACCGCAATAAGAGATTTGAGTTGCAGCTTGTGCCTGAAAGGGTGAAAGGAAGAGAATGAATAAGGAAAAGAGAAGGTAGAGTTTGGGAAGAGAGTGAAACTCCATGGCTCAGTGCAAATCGTTGAACAAGGAAGAAAGCTTGGATGAACAAGAGAGTGAGAACTAGGAAGGAAGAGATACACTCATAAACTCAAGGTTTTGCTTAGATATTAAACAAAATTAGTGGCTCCCACAATGTGACGACAAATACAATAAAATCAACATTAAATATAATTCTGAAAGCACGTGGGCGCGTGTGTGGGTATTTCTTTTTCAATTACCAAAATGAAAATAACATAGCACAGTAGTTTTTATTTAAAAAAAATAGTTTAAAAGTAAGGATAAAATTATAAAAAAGTTATACCAAAAAATTGTGTTGTATTAGTGTAGATGAGTCTACGTTTTAAGAATTCTACTTGATCTAATTCACCTGAGTAGGACGTCTGCGTTCAATTTTTAAATTTATCATGATTTTAATATCGGTAACTTCTTTTAATATTTATTTCTTTATTATACTATGTCCCAATATCTCACTATCTTATTATTATTAGTATGTTCCTAAGATAATACAGTGCAAATTATAACCACCTACATTTTCAATATTTTCACCTTAATATTATCTAATTTACATGGTATATGATTATCACTAGACAATTTGATTAATTACATATTAGTTTACGAAAATTAATGATGTACCAATTATTACATGTAACTTATCATCTGATCAAACATTTTTTTATAAAGTAAAGAAAGGTTTTAAGTTTTAATCCTTATTATTCTCTATTTATGTAAGAATGTCTCAAATTGGGTGGTCCTCGTTTTTTTTAAGTGTATCAAAATGGTCTTAATTTAAAATTGATATCATTAGTCCTTTCCGTTTATTGGGTGGACGGCTTTAAAAGTGTATCAAAATGGTCCTTAATTTTAAAAATTGATATCAATTGAGTCCTTTCCGTTAAGTTGGGTGGACGGCGTTAAAAAAATTTATGAGTGGATGCTGAGATGACGAACGAACGCTCGTCCACCAGCGAACGAACGCTCGTCACCGAATGTATTGATGGTAAGAGTTAATAAATTAAAATAACAATATCACCGCGTCATTGCATGGGAATGTGGTATTTCTAGTAAAATACAGAGGTCATAGAGCCCTTTTTTTTTAATATTTTTTTTATAACTTACATGATGATGAGTGGTGACTCATAATTAATCATAATATTTTTTTCAAAAATTAATCACTGAAAATAATGACATACAATACTGTTAAAATTTGTAACAAACTATGACCTTATTATAAAAAACCCAACAAAGTTATATGAAACCTTTTAACATATTAAATCCCCTTGCAGAAAGACTTTAAATGGGAGTTCACTTAAATCTATAAACTTAATATTAAAGTTAACTTTCAAGCTTAATTTTAATTTTAGTAAACTAAAAAACATCATTTTCATTTAATAAATAATTAAATTATTTGTTCAACTCCAAACATTTTACCCTATGGTTCAATATATCATCTTCTAGTATATCATTAATATAAAAATTTCGATTGAACTGTTATGAATCCATTTTAATTAATCAAAGTATTCAATTCAAGCACAATCTAGAAAATGAACAAAAAGTTACTTATTTATCAGCATCTCGCTGCAAATGATGTTGAAACTCCAATGAACATGTTGAAGAATACCTATGGTGTACAACAACCCACCATATTTCAACCACTTCAACTACTCATTCAACTTCATATTTTAAAAACCAAAAGACATACAATATAAAAACTCTTCCTAATCCTGACAAACTCAGACAGAGATACTTCTGTGAGAATAATAAGGTTATCCCCATTCCACGGCAAGTTTCTTAAATGCATTCATTAGCAAGCAATCCCATTTAAGAAATGGTAATAAAATTGAATAACCAAAACAGAAATATTTAAAATAAACAATAAGAGAAGTATTTAGGACACAAAACGAAATTAATCCTTTCCACATATTACTGTTTCACTTTCTCACAATCAACTACTAAATGCTACTCATTTTTAGTCCATAGTCCAACGCTACAGTTACGGAACATCAAAACAGTATCATCATCATCAGTTTCATCATCATTCATTTTTCATCAATTCAGATTCTACATTCCTTCGGCACAAGTCATTACTGTTGGGCGCACTGTACCCTCTGTGCACCACCAGGCATATCATCATCCTCCTCATATGCTTCCTGAGCAGCTTGTTGCTGCCTCCTCCTAGACTCCTCATCCATGTTGACATCATGAAGTGTGGTCTCCTCACATTCGTCCAGCTCCATGTCTTTAACTGTGAGGGCTGCTTGGGGGCAGAACGGCTTCCAAAGCCTTACCTGAATCAGGATTTAGAAAATCTGGAATTTCCACAGTGAGTGAAGATAAAGCTTCCCCTTCATGAATGGCCTCTGGTACATGGGCATCCCCTCGTCATTAATAGCCTTGTATGAATCTGCATGTGTAGACCTTACAAAAGTTAAAAATCCAAAACAAAACAGATTTTTAAAAAAAAAAATAGAAACCTAAAAGGATTACATGTGAATCATTTATGTACCAGGTTTCACAACTTCCCCAGGATTTGATTTAATAAGAAGCTGACGGCCATCCAAGTGGGTCAGGACAAATTGGAAACCACACAAAGCCTCAGTAAGGGACAAGGTGTGCTCAACAAAAAGATCTTCACTCTTTCTTTTGAATTTAGGATGCTCCTTCTGCTGAAGCACAAAGACAATATCCCCAGTAATGGTGTCCGGCTGCACACACAAACAATCATTGCACACAAACAATCATTAAACGTCTGATAAACTATGTAATCAATAATCATAAACTAAATGCCAATAAGAATATTGTAAGCATCACAGCATACCGCTTCATCAGCTTCACCAGGGAATGTAATCTTCTGCCCATTCTGCATTCCCTTTTCCACAATTACTTCAAGAACCTTCTTCTCCTGCACAACCTTCTCTCCCTTGCATTGTGGGCAGCGATCTCTATCATTGATAGTTTCTCCAGTACCCTTACATTCATTGCAAGCATGCTGCATTTGTTGAATCATGGATGGACCAAGGTGTCTTATAGAAACCTTCATACCAGTTTCCTTGACAACCAGCACACTCAATCGAAGCCCCAGACTTTAGAACCCTTGCTGTAAACAATTCACAAACACTAATACAATAAATCCATGGATAGACACACAACAATAATGCAAACAATAAAATCCAACTGGACAATATGATTCCCTTACATCCAGTAAACATAAAAACCAGTAAACATAAAAACGTTGTTTGCTTACAAACTGTAAAAAAAATGCCATCTTATAGCCCTTGTCTTCCACAAGAAAAAAAATATATATATGGTTTCAGTCCTTCATTTATGAACATAAGGTTATATATGACACATGTCCACAAATGAGAAAACAAAAGGAGTCATTATATTTTGAAGACTATAGATGATCATTGTCATAGACAGAGGGACTAAAAAGTAGCAAATACTAATCGCATCCTTCCCTCAAAACCAAAAAAGGCATTATTCCCTTGAACTTAATTGGACTCAAGAACTAAATCGTTCAATACACCTACAAAGAATAAAAACTACTCCATGTCTAAATTAAATCAAAAAACAAAAATTGTCCGTAAAAATTAATTTGTTCATAAAAGAAAACATTCAACCTCCCAACAATATAAAGTAGATCATGTACAAACTAACTAATAACATAATTCTAAACCCAATACAAACGACTTTTCCAAAAAAGAAAACTACTATAAATCAATACCCAAACAAATTCTGAAAATACCTACCCACTGCACTTGGAGCATATGACATTTCTGGAGAGGGACAGCTTCTTTGAAGTCCCTAAGTAAAGGTCCTCCAGAGAGACCTTGAGAGGGTGAACCACATCTTCTCCGCGCCTCTGTCTCCTACCACGACTACTACCACCTGTTCACATAGCCATAACACCTTTAGCACACAGTCAAACTTATCATAAGATTATGAATCCATTAAAATTAACAAGCATTCATTAATTGAATAGTCAAACCTGATCCAAAAGGACTTCCACCGCCAAAGAAAGATGAAAAGATATCAAATGGATCATGGCCACCGCCACCACCCATTCCTTCCTTAAGCGCATCTTCACCATACTGATCATATATCTCACGCTTCTCAGGATCACTCAGAACCTCATAAGCTTGAGCCAACTCTTTAAACTACACCAGACAACAAAAAACATAAGCATAGCCTCACTTGCTACAAAGGACAGGGACAGAAAGCAATTAATCCCTAATTCAACCAACAATCCCTAAGTCAATTGAAACCTAAATCAACGAATTAAACCCTAATCAAAGCAGAAATGGAATAAACCTGAACTGATAAGGTACCTTCTCGGGATCACCGCCCTTGTCGGGGTGATTTTTGATGGCGGCTTTTTTGTAAGCCTTCTTCAAATCATCCTGTGAAGCATTTTTAGAGACGCCGAGGATTTCGTAGTACCGTGTGTTATCGCTCTTCTTTGGTGCCCTCCCAAACATCGTGCTCTAATGGATCGAAATGGAAACCCTAGTTTGAGGTTGCGAAGAACAGCGAAAAGAGAAAGTTAGATCGGAACAAACGAGAGAAGAAGAAACACCCTAGGTAAGAAAACTCTAGAGTTGAATATTTATATTTATATTCAAATTCTT